TCGACACTCAGGTCCAAGTTCAGGAAGTTAAAATATTGTTCAATATTGACCCATTACAAGGTTGAATAGACATATTTTAACTAGAGTTGAAATGATCAGAGCCTGTTCCTTTGTTAGTTGTGTCTAATGCTCCTTTGTTGTTGACAACTTTTACTTCCATGTGTTTACTGCAGTTAAAATGACACGTTGGTTTTGATTTGTGTTAAATAAAAACTTTCAAAGGTAAAATCATTCCTCTTTCTTATTTTGATTAATGACATTTAACTGCAGGTCATCCCTGAAATTCTGACAGAATCACAAGTCCAGGTGTGAACGGTGTCACAGAGTAAACAATAAAAACGTGTATTATCTGCAGCATCCGTCATTAAAACAACACTATTAATGTATTACAGAAAATATACTGTACATATAGTAGGCACACTTAATGATATAATTTAGCGTGTTTTTTTTCTCCTTTTAAATATTTATTTTGCTTTTTTATTTTAATTTTAAAGAAGCCAATAAAAAGCTGTTATGTAGAACATGTTCATCCATTCAACCTTTATTTAGACAGGTTAATTCCACTGAGCCTCAGGGACTCATTTACAAGAGAGACCTGATTTCTTAGCAAAGCGTAATGACAACAGTGGAAATAGACAATAGACAATCATAAAAGATGCGTACAAATTAATTTTTTCTTTGTTTAACAAGTTAAAATAAAATGGCAACCAAAAGGACAATCAAAAGGAAATGTAACAAAAAAACAAGCAAACAGAAACAGCTAGATTATAAATCGGTGTAGAAAACTAAAAACAGGAACATGTCTGCGTTGGGTTTTCCCAGGAACAGATGTTTAAAGCCACTTAGAGGTCAAGGTCGAGAGCTTCAGATAACAGCAACTTGGACATTTCAAGTTTGATCTACTCGATGTAGTATTTAAGGAAATTAACTGCCTCAAATTGTTTAAGTTTTGCTTCATGTGCTTTGATTAATACAAAGTCAACATTTTTCAGTATTCTGTACTTAAAACAATGACAACAAACTAATAAAAATAGAGTTTTGTTAATTTAAAAATGTCTTGTCTTGTACTTAAATTTTTGAGTTCTGTTATCTAACTTCCTGGGTTAAAAAAGTGAAAGTCTTGATAATAAACTGATTCTGAAATAAAAAATTTGAGTCAATTTTAATTAAACTGGAATCAAAATGTAGAAGTAGCACTTTGAGATGAAGGTTTTATTTGCAAGCGACCTCACAATTTTTGTAGGACCAGTAGCTGAAGGAAAAGCTGAGCGCGGAGAAAGATCAGCAGTTTCAGGTTATTGGAGTTTGAACTGCGCCTCCTAGGTCTGAAGACACCGTAGCTGTGCGCGCTCCCTCTGTGCGGGCCAAGCCCGACTACAGGGATCAGGCAGGACCCAGCAGGATCAGCGAAGCACCCGGACAGGCGAATTTCCAGCAGATGTTCGGCAGGAGATGATGCAGCAGACGGTCCGAAGTTGGTTATATTCCTCTGGAGACAATCGAGACAGTCGAAACTGTCACGGCTGCGCACGCACCTGTGACGCACGCACCCACTACGGCCCGACCACCTGTAGCGGGCTGGAATGGAGAAGATCAGCAAAGCATCCGGATAGACAGTGTAACATCTGATGGTCAGCTTGATGCTGGCTTTAATCCTCACGAGACGACCAGCACATCGTCCACGGCGCCTGGAGCGATGTTTTCGGGCGTGCAGGAACGCTGCGCACTGCAGGTAAACAGGTACATCAACAAGCAGACGGGGTGGGGGGTCTAGAGCCCGGATCTAATTGGTCGAACAAGGCGGGGTTTTCAGTAGATAATTGTAAATTTAAAAGTTGTTTGAGATCATAAACAAGCAGTGAGTTGATGTCACCGAAGAAAAATGACAAAAACAG